GGGGTCAGTGTAGGCGATGAGCGGCGGCGACGACAGCGTTTCAGTGGCGAACACTCCTCCCTGCAGCTGCAGGCCGAACCCCATGATGCCGTCGCCAAGCAACGTCACTTCCGTAGTCTCCGTGTGGACGACCTGACCGGCAAGACCCACAGTGCTGGACGCAAGAGACACTACGACGGAGACAAAGACAGGAAGGGGTCAAGACTCATAAACTGTACATAAGAAATGGACGTAGGTTTGTGGTTCGAAACCCTTAACGAAGGTTTGTTTCCAAGAAGCGGTAATCATAGAGCAGACTCACGGGAGCTCTTAAAGTCTTTCTTCTTGTTTTTCCTCCTCATCAGTGTGCTCCGGGGACTGGTGGGATACATGTTCCTGGGTACGGTGCTCATGTTGAGGGACGAGAGACTGTAGGCCGACATGGAGCCAGGGGAGAACGAGTGACTGAGAGCTGAACACAGAGAGAGTGACGGAGATGGTGAGATGATTTTTTTTTGTTTTTTCAAAATTAAACATCACGCACTAGACATAAGAAAATCATTTTACTTTGAGATTAAAAAAGTAAATAAATAAATATGAGTTACAGAAAAACACAAGTGGAAGCAAAGTATTTCCAGTACGGCACAGTTACGTTTACAAAAGTAGCGCCACCATACACTCCTGGTGACGTTTAAGAAAAAACATTGAAAAGCATCATGCCTCTGATAGATAATGACATATTGTTATCTTTGATGATGATGTTTTTTTAACATTCATGACACTGTTTTCATGATGTTTGGAAAAAGAAATAAGCCATATATTTATGTACACATCATTTTTTGGGGAGATTTTTCTCATGAAAAAAACATTTCCCATGATTCCCTGCGAAGGGGAGCGAGAGAGAGGTGGAAGTGGACGTACAAGGGTTGTTTGGGTGGCGGTTGTGCGATCTGGGCGCTGATTGGTCGGGGTGGTAGGTGTTGTAGTGGTAGGGAGGGAGGATGGGGGCGGAGCCTGCAGTCTCCCAGGGGAGGGGGCGGGGACTACGCTGCACCTTGACTACATACATACGACAGCAAAACACACACACACACACACAGATGGGAGCATTGAGGTTAAAGGAACAGTTTATCAGGTTTATGAAAAATGACATGATAATTACGTCATTTTTCTAAACGACAACACTTGTTGGACAGGTTGTATCATTTTGTGATGTGTTTGAGGTCAGCCCAGTTTTGTTTTTGTGTTTGTTGTTACCCTGCTGAGGTGCGTTCAGGGCCGGACGAGCCTGATGCTGCGGCAGAATCTCCATACGAACCGTCTGACAGGAGGCAGAGAGCAGCTGAGTGGCTTCAGCCAGAGAACAAAACTCCATCGACTTCCCGTCCACTGACAGGATGTGATCACCGGCATGTAGGGCACCGCACCTTCGCACAAAATACACAACCAGAACAACTAAATATGGAGGTGGAGACACGTGTGCTGCTGCTGCTGAAAACTGTGCTAAAAAAAACCTGCTTAAATATTTCACTGGATCCGATGTTTGGTACCTGTCTGCTATACTGGCCGGTTTCACCTTGTCGATGACGATGACCTGCTTGTTGCAGAACATGGAGGTGGACAGAGCCACTCCCAGACTGGAGCCTGTCGCTTTGGCAACTTCCACCAGCAGGGGGCCGGATGCAGTGGCCACAGAGTCTGAAAAGAGAAAAACAATTGTAAAAAATGTACGTATACTAGAGATGTCCGATAATCTCGACCAACCAATATTACTGGCCCGATATTAGCATAATTATGTAGTATCTGTATGAATTGTTGTCGGTTTATTCCTCCGATAATGAAAACCTGAAAATGCAATGCCTGAGTTTCGCCAAATGGAAAAACGACTGTATATGAAAGTGAAAGTCACTAGATGGCAGCATTGCACCTCTTTTAATTGATCTATTTTGACAATCAGAGGGTTGTATGCAGAATACTGGTGGCAGCAACTCAAAACAGGAGTTTGTTCAGATAAATAGATAAATATTACCGAGGGGACCTCCACACAGAAACAAAGGAGTTTATCATGAAATATTGGCAACGCTTCAAAGGTTGTGCACATTCAGCAGGGTTGGTCCCTGAATGTAACACTGAGGGGAAAAATCAACTAATGTGTACAAATGTTTGATTGGTTGGATTGTGTTGAGCTACGCTCTTTAACAATCACTGAACTTCAAACTGACAAGGTTTGCTTAACAGACACACCATAAACAAATGTTCAGTCTTTTCTTGAAGTGAAAAGTTAAATATTCTGTGAAATGACTTTTATTTACTCTGTAAAAACACATTGTTTTTACAGCGTTTTTGCTCGAATAGAATCACAGATTTCAAAAGATCTTTCAAACTCAAAATCTGAGATGTTTAAATGAATCAAAAGAAACGTCAAATATCTGGGCCAAAGCGCCACTAATTAAAATTCTTTAAATAAAAAAAAAAAAAGATGTTTCAGGAAGTAGACTGACCCATTACTGATACGTCGTATTCTATTAGCAGCGTAGCTTCCTGTCCACTCTGCTTCAGGATGCTCATGGCCTCCGCTAAAGTACTACCATGGAGACGAATGCCATCGATGCTGAGCAACCGATCTCCAGGTTTGATGGTTCCTTCCCTGAAGACAGAGCGACGTAGAGAGAGAGTCAGACACAAAAAAGATGATGGGTAAATAGTCTGTATTCATGAAGAACATTTCCAGTTCTGTTGATCATCTAAAGAACCTTAAACAACAGGTTTTGAGATCATCTGCACGTACAGCAACATGAAAACTAGCAGCCTAGCCTGTCGCAATAAGATCTAAGTAAGTAAGATGTTAGTAGCTGGAACATTAGTGATGGGAGTATCAATTCTGTGGTATCGATATATGGATATTCACGAGTATCGATTACTCTCTTAGAGTATCAATACTAAATAATAAATGAAAAAGGTACCTGAGTCACTTCCATATCTTTTACAGTATCTTATTAATATGTTATGCAAAACACAAATTAAAAATGGTAAATGGCCAGTATTTGTTATGTGTTAAAAAAGTACACAAAGTACCGATAACAGTATCGAAAAGTAAACAGTATCATATCAAAAATTCTGATATCGCCTTTCGGAGAGCTTTTGTTAAAGAAGTCAAAAACATAAAAATACAATTGTTTGTCTCGCATTACTAACTGCTAAGATAACATAAAATAAAATAATAATAAGATGCTAATGCTAACCTGTCCGCTGGTCCACCCGGTCTAATGGTTGCGATGACGATCGGGCGGGACTTATTCCTGTCCTCATTAACGCCACCTGTGGACGGGACAGAGTTGTTCTACTTAAACAATTCACACACGTCTGTAAACACCCACTGAAGCCCGCAAATGTTCCCTCACCTCTGATGACAAAGCCGAAGCTGTTCCCCTCTTTGTGCAGCGTAACCTCCACATTTTTAAAGACAACACCAGAGCCCTGCACTGCTGCAACAGAGAGCGTGGCACCGACATGTCAATGTCCCATCTGAGCTGCTGCAGAGTTAGAAACTCAACAGCCAACGTTTTCTTGATCATTCGCCTGTACTTACAGACAGGAGGCAGCTCGTACTCCACCTCCAGGACCACGCGCTCGCCCACGTTCTTCAGCAGACTGATGATCTCATCATGTCTGAACTTGGCCAGGTTTATACCGTTGACTGAGCGGATGTAGTCTCCGACGTTTAGCTGATCGCTCCTAAGGATGGACCACAAACACGAGATTCAACTTCTTTACTTTTAAGGTTTAGCAACAAGAAATACAGGGAAAATGTCTAAAATATAGCATGAAACAAAAACATACAGGGTTCTCCACTTACGTCGAAATATGTCCCCTATGTCACTTACCCTACGCTAACATGGTGTTAACATCATAATTTAGGACATTAAAAACATCAGAAGAGTCTGACTAACTCTGGGGAGCCATAATGAAGGACAAGCACCCCCCCCCAAAAAAAACACTAACAAAAGAAAGTGAATGTAGCAAGCTAATGTATAGCGTTTAACTGGCGAATGTAAATAAAGCTATCGTCTGCATATAGTGTAATGTAACGATGTATCTCTCTGCTCCACTTGCCAACTACTTCCCGCGTGAAATTTGTTTCAACACCGTACATCGAAATGATGGAACAAGACTTTCTTAATACTTCTATCGGAGATGGCGACATAACCACGAAACGCTGTGTACGTTATAAACCAAGGACGTTATAAATAAATTAAAAGTAGCTAAAACTTATACTTTAACGGAATAAATCATGAATTCCAAATGATTCAAAAAAATCAATAAGTCTCAAAAATTGTTACCTGGCAGCGATGCCTCCTTGCCGTAGGTTTGAAACCCGTGGTTTCCCGTCCTTGTCGATGCCACCAGACACCGTAAGTCCGAGCGTCGTTCCCTCCTTCTTGGTCAACTCCACCACTGAGCAGCCCCGGAACTCTTCTAAACCAACAGAGGAGGACAAAGCCCAAACATGTGAGTTTTCAATCCTGTGTTTTTATTTATTCATTCATGTCACTTGGACTTCTTTTTCCTCCCTATCCCTCGACTGAACACAGAGCAGCTAAATGATCATCTGGACTGGAAAAAAGCTACGTCCTCCTCCACTGGCTGGTCCATCTATATTTTATCATAGCTGAAATATTAAACATCAAAAGACACAGAGACAGAAACAGAGAGGGGGAGGTTGAGTGATGTGACCTTGGCTATTTTTATGAAAATGGATGATTGAATATTTATCAGGATGAAGATATCTGAACATCTTTTCGTCTTTTTCTCCTTCAGCCTTTTAACGGTCAGTCAGGTTTTTACTCACAGCACCTTTCAAGTTCTGTCTTGGAGTAAAAAAAGAAAAAAAGCTTCAAAAAAAATTTTTAAAAAATCGAGAGGCCTGACCTAAGAAGAGGAGGCTTCGTCAACTCATCACTGTGAGACGTTTCTGAAAAGTCTCAGGTCTCAGTCAGATGATCAAATGCTCACCTTACACAGTGGTTTCCAACTTTTTTTGGCTTGTGACCCCATTTTGACATTTTATGGCGACCTCAGACGTATTGGGTTTTTGATCATGTTTGTTATGCTGTGTGTGTTTTCATCTGAATTTAAATGTATTTATTTTTACTTAGCACTAGACATTTCAAGCGACCCTATTTGAATTCTAGGCGGCCCAATGTGGGGTCATGACCCTCTTTTTGAAACTAGCTGTTCTGAGTCCTCTGACTAGTTTTCAGCTTCAACAAGTTTAGGTCAGATGGTGTATCAGTCGCTCAGACTCATCTGGTTCATACAGCCTAATTAGACGTCAAGTGGGCCGGACCACTTCAACCATAACATAATCACCTATAAATAACAAAAAGTCCATCTTTTCCCCATTTGTTTTCATGCGAATAAGTGTATTAGACATTATTTTTCAATTCATTGTAATGAAATGTAATTTTACAAAACATTTCCCTGAACATGAAGTGTTCAAGTGTGTATTTTTTTATTTTCAAAATTCATCAAGTGGGCCGGATTAAAACCCCAAGCGGGCCAATTTTGGCCCGCGGGCCGTATTTGTGACAACCCTTAGTCTAATTAATCCTTACCAGGGAAACTCTGCTTCTAGTGCCTGTTGCTGGTCAATCTACTCATCAACAAGATGATCTAAACCAGGGGGATGTTTGTTCGTCGTTCGTATGCACTCATATATTTAATGTTCTTTAATGCAGGCGGATCACTTACAAATGTTGGTTTTAATTTAATAGTTCAACCTTGTTGTCTTGTTTCCAGAACATTTTCTTCACTTAGATGAATACACCCTTTGCCTTGTAAGTATAAATACATAAGGTAAGGTAACATAGAGAAAAAAAACATCTATAGATATGTTTTTTTCCACCGTGAAAAGAGCATCACGACACTGGCCTCAGAAAATCCACTACCAGTTATTTCAGCTTCCAGATACAACTAGGTCACAGGCTCAGGTGTGAAACACAAACAACGACTGTAAGCATTTTGGTCCAAGTCACGCAGACAGAAGTACAAACAAATGAAACCTAAACTGAAGCATTTACTGAACTTTGGCAACAATTTTGCAATTCAGATTAAACCAGTAGGGGGAGCAAAACGCCTGAAAAATTTTTTTTAAGCCTCGATATTAAACTCTTCTGTTTCACATATGAACAAATATGTTTCAACATAGCACACATGCTGCTAACGCTAATGGCTAATAGCTAATGCACAAATATGATGTTTCCACATAGCACACTTAGAGCCATGCTGCTAATGCTAATGGCTAATAGCTAATGTTTTTGCAAACAGCAACACAAACAAACAACAGATTTCTTCACGTTATATCTGATCACCACAAATAGTTGGTCTAATGTATAAAATCAGAGTTTTTATCTGTATCTACTGTTTATACTTTTCCAATTTGTGTAAATTTCATGTAATCGCTGAGATTTTATTTGAATGTGTTTGTTTGTGTACTACCTGGTATGCTCTGCCTCCTGATGGCTAGAGCTCCATCTGAAGGTCTGGATCCGCTTGAGTGTTTTGTGTACGGCCCTTCATCTGAAACCATGAAAAACCACAACATGTCACTAGTCACAGCAACACTGGCTGATTGGTGAATCATCTACTGTAGCCCCCTGCTGGCTACAAACCACGATGAGATAAAATCACCTCATTTCGTCAGCTGGTGCTAAAATGGACTAAAAAAAAACGTACTTTCTCTAACTGTTTCCCGGATAGTATCAGTTACTAACAGTGATTGTCTTCTCTTTTTTAAAAGTGACTTTATTTTACGACTTAGGTCAGGGTTCGGTTCCTAGCGGCAACAGTAGCTCAGATTTTCGCTGTGATTCGGAACTTACATACCATTATAAATCGCAAAATATCGCCGGGAAATTATCGCTTTTACATGGAGATAGTCGCATGGAGATTTTAATAAATGTATACGCGGAGGATCGAGGATGTCATAAAGCTAGCACCCCTTGTATTGATCTATTATTCTTTTCCGAATTGTATATTAGTTTTCGTTTTGCCCGATAACATTTTCGTAAGCTACGGAACTGAGTCATATATTGAGGTGCACAGTACGTTTATTGTATCAATATGTTTATATTTTTCTAATTGTGATATGGATGTGATACTCAATGTTAGTACGACATTAGAACAAGAACTTCCTCTTCTAATATACCTTTAACTCCCAATACGAATATTAACAAAAATATTTAAAGGCTAGGAATCAATCAGTTTATATTTCTGTGCGCTAACATTAGAACATATATGTAAATACATGGTTAATTGGACACAATTAACATTTTACTTTCATCTCAGTTTGAGTCTTTGCAAATCAGACCGGCTGCCACAGGAGGCGCCATTTCTCTGGGGCTCGTACCCAGGATCATCTGTGTAAGGCAAGCATGAAAACCACTACACTTTAGAATCGTCGGCAAATTGAGGCGCTCGATCGTCATCCCTGGGTAGGCTCGGACCCAGCAATCTTTCGGTTAACTTACGAACGTGCTAGCCTATAGGGATGGGCTACAGATTTGTAATTAAAAGTGTACAAAGTTGTGTAAAAGTAAAAGTTTTATGCAAAGTAAAAAAACTGACAAAATCCTTTTCCATTTAATGTTTCCTTGTTTGACTTGGTACCTGAAAAAACATTGAATCTTTATTTAAAAAGATTACTAAGCTGACCCCTTTTTCCTTCTTTGAAGTGTTCTGGGAGACGTCTTTGACACGAGGCCACTTCTTCTGTGTCTCCACTGAGGACTGAAATCAACGCTCTTTCAAATGTTCTGACAGTTTAGAGAAGAGATCAAAACACGTCGCAAGGCCATAAAACCTTCAACAGGATTCTAGTCAAGTTTGTTTGGAAATTCCACCTCGATTTAGTCGTCAGTTTTTCCGTCCGTCTGAGATCTTTATGACTTACGTTCGCACTTCTGCTCTGAAACCTAGGTGATCAATGCGATTCGCTGGGCTCTAATTCACTCCCCATGTGTCGGTTGTTCAATATATATTTCATTAGATTTATCTTTAGCTTCTTTTATCTGCTTATGTTTTTTTTTTCTTCTCTAATCCGCCACAGATCTTCCTTCTCCGTTTGCTTCTCTAAGCTGAGCTGTTCAAACAACAATAGGAACAATTCTCCACGGAAAAATACACGACG